GCGTCTACTGCATGGCGCTAAGGTCTGAGGGGGATGGTTTGGACAAGTCGAGCGAGCAGGAACGTTCAGGTATGCGTCTTGCTTCGCATCTTCATTCCGCTTCAGTTGGCGATTCGTGATCGGCAGAGGACCTTGTCAAGTCATCGCATGAAGGGACGGTACCGGTAGATGGATGGGTTTCTTGTTGCGTCCCGTCGTCTGATGAGAGGCGCGCGCGCGAGAGTGGCGAAACGATAAGACCCTGGGGGAAAGGTAAGGTAGGGTGAGTTTTGTCGGGAAGGGGACCAAAAACTTGGAAACGCGGCAAGGAGATGGACGCAACGAAACGCACAAAACGGGAAGGGGATAGAAGGAGTTGTGAGGGTAGGAGAGAGGTAGGCGCAAATAGGATTCGGGGAAGAGGAGGATGCGCGGTGAGTGTGTGCGTCGGGTTGTGTGCGTCAAGAGCGAGCGGGTGGGTGAAGTGGGTGGTGGTTGGGTTGCGGGTTTGCGGGTGTAAGTGCGAAAGGTGCAGCAGCGCAGCGCAAGACAGCGCGAGCCGAGTGGGTTTGCGTGGGACACTTACTTGTAGGAAGATGGGAGAGACCACGACCAGGCAGGTAGGTAATGGGTGAATGAATGGTCGATGCAGGCGGGTGGGCAGGCAGGAATGGCACGCCCAAGCCGGGGGATCGCAGTCAGGATGGAGACTTTCCTTGCCAAGGTACCTTACCTTTAGGTACTGTTCAAGGTACTGTAGGTGGTGAAGGCGAAACTTGACTGGTCTCTCTGGAACGGGAGTGAGAAAGGGCGTGCAGATGTGGACACTGAGAAAGTTGGGAAGTCGCTGCTTCTTTTTCGCGATGGCGCGCGTGGCGTGTGTTGTTTACAATATTTCCCAAAGCAGCTAGACCTGCACGTGATTACGCGACTCAAAGTGGATCCGGTCTGTTAGAGCAAGACCGCAGCTGAAGCCGTTTAGGAAGCCACAAGGTCGCAAATGCAGGTCCCGAAGTGGGCAAAGAAGAAAGAAAAGAAAAGAAAAACAAAATCTCATCACCAAGCTCTAGACATGCAGCGTCTCAACTGAAGAATCTCGAGGCTGCAAACTTGTCTTGCTTCTTCGTGATGATGGCCAACTTTGGGCCCGAGTCTGTTTCTCTTGTCCTTCATTATCATGCCCACCCACTAACTAGGTACTAGTCACAAGCCAACAAACACACAGATCCACGACCTCTTTCTAACCCTGACATCACTAAACCCAACTTACCCAACGGTCTGGCATCCAAAAGACGCCAGGGGACCCCCCAAGATTGGGCCGGGGGGATGCCTTTTTGGAGGTTTACAAGCATCGTCTATTGGTTGAGTCCTTCCATCTACCTGCAGGGTCCCGCCCACGCGTCTGAAGTCTCCTGCAGCCCGAACCTCACCAGACTCCAGACAGAGGAAAATATGGGCAAGACAACGAGGGAGATCAACACGCTCTGGAGACGTATTGGACAATCAAGTCTGGCGCACTGCGAGAATGCACAATGTGCGGGACTGATCCATATCCATCTCGTCTAAGCGTCCACACCGCACCGTCCAACCAAGACCAGACGAGGCTTGCGCTCCTCCCTCTTACACGGAATTCTTCTTAGTTCTGAGGCATCCATCTCTTCTTCCTCCGGGACGGCCTCGCGCCTATTCGCCTCGTCCAAGATCCAGCTTGCCAGGCCCGACATGCAGTCACACACTCTGCAGTAGTCGCTGCAGTGCCAAAGGGGGGGGCCTTTCCCCTTGGTCTCATAGCCACGACTTAACTGCCACTTGTTCACTCTAGACTCCATCGACACGCAGCAGAAGCCAGGAACGCTTCTTTTCTTTTCTTCTTTTCCTTTCCAACTCGTCATTCTCGGGCTGTACAAGATTATCTGCGTCTCGGACACGAGTGACCACATTGGCGAGCCGCCTGTCGGGCAGCGGGAAAAGGTGGGCTCATCATCAAAATAGAAAAGACGGCTGACCCATGGCTGATGGAGCCAGGCCACTAAACAAACGCGACAAGCCACAGCCGGGAACCAAAACAAAACAAAAACACCAAAACAAATACTTCGTCAACACAACCTCGAGGTACCTCGCCGCAAGTACCTTACCTTACACTCATATACGCACACACACTTCGCAGTAGGTACACAACTCGTCGTCATCACTGGACCGTCATGACCACCACATTGGCACACACACACACAGGCCGACAGCCATCAACCTTGCCTCACCAATTATTGCCTTCCCAGCTGTCCGGTCCATTCATCATGCAGCATGCCTATAGTTCAATATTCCCAACATATCGGCCAGGCTCTCCACAGTATCGCTCGCAGCTTCCGATCTCAATGGGGAAAGCAGCAAGGTCAGCGATTGATTGCGCCTGATATTACGATTTCATGCCTGTGACCGCGTCATCTCGCTTCACTGAAAGTCTGGAGAGAACGTGAGAGAGAGCACCGCAAGCTGCCCAAAGCACTCCTTGACAACCACTAGACTTCCAGAGATGCCAGATGGCATCGCAGAGAATCGAGGGCACGGTCGAGCTCGCCGGGCTAGCGAATCTGGGACAACCTGGAGCCTCCTGCCCGGCCCCTCGTCTGCCTCAAATCTCTTTTTTAGCTTACTGCCCACCAGCCAATGTTGAAGCTCCTGGAACGTTTGGGAAAGGTCAAACACCATGGTGCACGGCAGCGGCTTTACAAGGTTTCTCTAAGAAGAAACTGGTGTTTCTCTCCATGCTTCGTTCTTGCTCTTCTCAGTGATCCAGATGGAGCTCTTCAACGGGCCGCTTTTCAAAAATAAAACGGGCGTACCGCGAAGAGAGTCAAGACCGCGCACGCCTTTCTCATTCGGCCCACCACGCGGGCAAGTCAGTAGGACTAGGGCGGGGGAGGGGGGAAGTGCTGAGCTTGGATCCCCGTTCGAGCCTCGAAAGCTCGGACACTCTTTGACCTTCAGATGGAATTCTGGTCTCTATCTTTCAGCACAGTCAGTAGACTCCCGCGTGTCGTTGGGACGGCGGCCGCAACTCTGGAACAGAGACGGGAAGGGAGGGTGCTTTCCCTTCCGAAGAGACGGGAACGACTCGCCGCTGGAACACAAAGGGGACGGCAATACAAGTCAAGAAGAGTTCGAGGTAAGGGGAAGGTGTCAGCCAAGGTAACACCAATATTCCTCAAGACCCGGAGCACACCAAGAACGAAAGAAAAGATGAGATGACTTTGAAATTGGGTGTAAGTGGGTGGACCAGCTCAGCTGAACGGTGAACCCCATCGGCATCCTTTCTGTGCGTCAAATCTCCAATACGATGCAGCATCGCAGATTACGCAGCCGCGGCCCGCCGTGGTAAAAGCAATGTCCTCGGTTCTCGACAATGAACAAGGCAGACTTCCGAATAGCCCGTTGGCGGTACCGTTACTGTTTGGCGGCCGCCAAGCAATATGGGTAAAGATGGCCAACCCACCCTGCCCTTACTGCGTACATACACAGTAGATCAAACGGCTCCTCTTTTTGACAATCTGCAATCTGCGTGGACACTTTTTCGCGGAGCCAACTATCCGTACGGAGTATTCCAAGGTTAGGTACATACGATACTCGGTACAGATGGATACCTTGCCTTCTATCTAATCAAGTAAGCGATATCCATACAGTAGTACCCGTCGCCGTCGTCGTCTCCGCCAATCTCCTCCCCAGTCCGTCTCCAGATTAATCGGATCTCCCGTCCTTGTTTTGTTTGGAGTACCCGATTTGTTGACTTTCCCATTGTTTATTGATTTGCCGTCAACAACAATAAAGTACCTCCAAGAAATCTCCTATCGATACTGGAATTCCTCTCTCACCCTCCGGAGACCCTCTTCGGGCCCCAAAAGCCCCTCCCCCCCTCGCCTCCTCGGATCCTTCTGCAACTGGCACAGCACAGACTCCCGCAGACAGAACCAACAGCCAAATTGGGGCGGCATAGGCGGGAAGAAGGGATGGACAAAAACTGCCCGCATCTGTGTCATCGTGTCAGACATGAGGCTTTTGCGAATCACGGTACCCAAATGGTCAAAACAGCACATGGAAGAAGAAACGACTTGTTTTTTTTTTTGACAATGTGTATTCAATATCCGAATTATCGGCATCCAACCGCCGCAACCTATATCCAATCAAACACTGCTTGGCAGTAAAACCTTGGATAAAGAGGTAAAGTTCGATGACCGAACCGCCGGGTAGCCTAGCAGAAGCCACCCGTCGTTCGCCCCGTCTATTCGCAGTTTCGCGCCCCGGGGCTTACCGTTGACCGCCGACGGGCGCCGCCACTCCGAGGATAGAAAAACGTCCCGGATCACCCGTCTCATCCGCTTTGCTTCTTCAACCTCGTCACTTATATCTGTCTGCCTAACCTATCGCATTGTCTCTATTCTGTTTGTTTTGAACAGTCCACGTCTCAGGTAGGCCTTTGTGCCAGGGCAAAATAGTTGCAAAAACTCACCTTCACCATGGTGAACTCGGTAAGCATGGTAAGGTGGGTAAAGACCATCCTCCTCCTCCAGCTTTCTGAGTCAAAGGGGTGAGGGGGTTGTGGGAAAACAACATACCCAGAAACGCATCGACTCTTCCAGCCCGCCCCTTCCCTCCGGTTCCCCCGCGGTTTCCCGGCTCTTTCGTCCCTGATTTTACCTTCACTGCCCTGTTTTCTTCAATAATGCCAGACCTCAACCTCGTGACCCCCTTCCTCTCCCAAGTCTCAAGTCCGATATATTGAAATTGACTCAAAACTCCCTTCGAGGCCCTGGCCCACCCATTCGTCCATCCCGCACTAGGCCCGTCTCACTGCGACCTAGGAAGACCCCGAAAAACAAAAACTCAAGAAACCAATCTTGCATCCAAAACATCAAGGGTCTCTCAGGGTCTTGCAGGGTCTCTTTGCCAAAGTTTACCATGGTATGAGGCATCGACGATCCGAACTATATTCACCCGCTGGCATCCAACCCATCATCATCGCCCCACACTTAAGGATGCACAAAAACCAACATGTAAGTCCACCGGGGGGGGGGGGGGGGACAATAGGGCCTGGGGGACAAAGTGGCCCTGAAATGGAAAAGAGGGCTTCCAAGTGTTGTGTCCAATGTATCCCGTACCGTCCGGCACGCCACGGGCACTAGCGTAGAAAACATAACGTCACAGCAGGACGGGTTCTCAGTCAGGCAGCAAGACCCGTCGATCACATCAACAGATCAACATCAACAACCAAGACCGCATCACTCAGCCGTGCAGCCACGCAGCCAGGGCGAGCTAAAGTATGGTCTTCCCGCCGGGCGGCCGGGAAACTTAACTTTTCTCAAAATGTGCCGAAAATACCCAAGACTAGCAAAAAAGATGAATAAAAAAAAACGTCATTCTCACACTTGTCTTCTTTCAGACCTCTTCTTCATGCAGTTGCTTTCGTGTAAGAGAATGTGAAGCTTGGAAGGTAACTGGGGGGGCATTAACCGCCCTCAAATTGGTTCCTGTTTACTTCAAGTGTCTCCTTTGTTCGGGCTCACACTACAGACAACCTAGTAGGTATCTTTCTCTGCCTAAACCAAGTGGGTGAAAGGCCAACCCAAACCACTCCCCGCCCGTCAAACCCAAAGAAACCCAAGACCCAACGCCTCGGAACTGAACCAACCCCAGATCATCATGCAGCTTGCATCGCTCATCTGTTCCCCTCACCTCTAGCCTTGCCTTTTCCAGAAGCTTCGTAGGTTCGTATCCATGGGAGATACCTAAAGCTCGCTTTCCCCGTTCCTTGTCTGTCGAGAAAAGACGGGAGAGGGGTTCACTTGGTAGACCCCGTTGATCCCGCCTGGGTATCAATTATACAGAACAAAAACAACAACCCAAAACCCGATCTAGACGTCATGTGCTTCTATCGGCCATGGTTCTTTTGTGATCAAAGAGGTCGATCGATCGATCGTCCATCTCGGCAGAGCAACGCTTACGACAGGTTCTTTCGGATCCATTCTGCCCAGGAGCAGAGGTCCTCCATCACCTCGAGCAACCTACCCAAGTCCTGCGGGGTAAACTGCTTGCCCTTCCCCTTGCCAGCCTTCGCCGCATCACTACCGTCGGCCGGCACGATGTTTTGTGACACGACATGTACCACTCCGTTCTGCTGGATTTGCAGGTCCACGTTGGCGGTTGCGTTGCGGAAGGGAAAGACGATGTGCAAACCAGCAGAGGGATGGACGGTCAGCACCACGTCCAGAGTAAGCTCCTGCTCGTTCTCGTCATAGCTCTTGGACATGAATCTCTCGTATTCGGCCTGCGTTGTTGTCGTATCACTCATTGTGATGTTTTCATGAACCTCGGGTAAAGCCTCGCCAGAAATATCAGATCCGAAGCTTCTCTCCAATAGCGTCGAGATCAGCGCATACTGGCGGAGGATGGGTAGCATTGCTATCAGCTGCCGTGGGTGCGAGAACGATAGCTCGGTGACTGTTTGTCCATACACTGGTTTGTAGATAAGGAGCGTGTTCTTGTGTTTCCGGGATGAGACGGTGCTCTCATTGCTCGGCATCGGAACTCTCCTCTTGCAAGAGATGACTCTGAGCTCGCTTGCATCATGGTGACTTCCTTCGGGTATCGGGAAAGATATGCTATCAAATGTGTAGGTCGGCAGAGGCATGGGCTGAGCCTGAGCTCCTGTGAGGGTGTGTAGTGTGTTCCATACCGACTGCGGCACGATGACTGAGGGGGTGAGTGTCGCGACAAACTTGACGTTCGGGTATTTGTGCGTTGTGCCATCCGCCTGCACCACGTCGATGCCCGAATCCTTATTGTCGTCCGTCTGTGGCAGCGTCGTAGGCTCCGGTTCCAGCCAGTCTAGAGCCGGCCCAGAAGCTGCAACGAGAAGATCCTCGGGTCCAGGCTCGGTCTTCTCAACCTTTTGGGAAATCCAATTCTCAGACACTCGGACGGGAGGGAACATTTCACCATCCAACGCCTTGCAGCCTATGAGAATCGACCAGGCCTTCTCCATTTTCTCGCAGTAGCGTGTCGTCTCTGGTGCTTTGGGGATGACATGGCGCCTCTCCGTCCAATACTCGATGCTTAGTCCCACCATGCCCCTCGAATGCATCCTCGGACGACCGCTCTTGGTGCACATGGCAGTCGTCTCGAGGAAACGTTCGGGCTTGCCGCTCATGGCAGGGTCTTCCCGCAGCTTCGACATTTCCCACTTGTGGAGTCTTTCGAGACTCTCAAAGATGCCAGCTAGAGCCTCTTGGCAGTCAACTCCCGGAATGACGCTCAGCTTGTCGAGAGTTGCCAGACGTTCAAGATTGGCAGAGAATGCTTTCAAAGTCTTGGTTAACGGACTCTGGTCAGGGCGAAGTTGCAGATCCTTGAGCAGGATGTTGCCAGCTTGATCCTTATGTCTTGTGACAACTGGCCCTGATTCTGGAAAGCCCAGCGAGACATTCTCCACGATATTGTTGTTCAGCTCGATATCGATGGTCAATGCTTGTCCGGCGATGACGAGCATTTTTGTCTTCCTGCCGTCGGGCGACCGATGCTCATCCCACATGCTAGTAAGACCAGTTCGGAGCGTAAGTCGTTCGAGGCCTGCTTCGCTGACTCGACCTGTTGCCTTCTACAAGGACATCATTAATTTCAATTGCGACCATGAGAAACAAACAGCCATGACTTACGCTGAGAATATCAATGACGGTATCAAACCTCTTGAGCTTGTCGTCCTCACTACCCAATGCTCCCAGACCACCGAAGCCCGCGATCCCGGCATGATCTAGTCCCATGTCCAGTCCACCACTGATCCCAAGCGCGCCCATCGCAGCTGCTGCGGAAGGGCTATCGAAGTTGAGAGCACCATTAGCTGGGTGGCCCATCAAGGTGGTCGAGGTCGCTGGCGATTTCTTAAACTGCTGAGGCGACGACTTAGGTCCTCTCGGCGAAAAGGCTGTGTGCGCTTGCGATGCTGAAAATGGCGTCGACACCGGCGGAGTCGCTGCTGTAAGCTGCGAAGGGGTTCTGCCCTGCTGGGAAGCCGCATGCTTCATCTGCGTCGGAGTAGCCATGTTGTGATTCGGTCGGTCGGGCGGTCGATTTCGATCGTGATTGAAGGTAAGAGCCGTGGAAGGGCAGCGTCGCGCCGTGATACTATGTCTGCGCCCTTGCGGCCATCAATTTGAATATTCGATGCCAATGCTTCGTCTCCAAGTTCTGTAGCTGTTCAAAGTAGTGGTAGTGCCGCAACTAAAAGTGGGAGTTGAAGACAGGATTGTCGCTCCAAGCTCGAGTTGAGCCGCAGAATAATATTTGAGCTGTAAGGCAGCTCGAGCGAGGTACCTACCCCCGACGCGCAGGTGGTCAAGGTGCCTTAGCGCTACCTTAGCGGAAGGGCAGGCGGTCCGGGTTTTAGCCGACGGGAGCCCTGGGGTATTTGCCTTACTGGCGAGCGAGCCCTCCCATCTTAGATACCTTACATCGGCTAGTTGAATACTACTAACATCTGGGCTGAGGTAGATAGAAGTAAGGCGATTGTCAATTAATCATTTTATACACATCAAGTTTGATATTTTTGTGTTACTTTGGCCAATATGTACATTGATCTCCAGCTCTGCTCGAATAAACCTAGAACGGGATCTGAATTATCACCTAGTCGAGTGAGTCTTAGTCCTGTTCTCATTTCCAACATTAAACCCGTATTGGATAGTTGAGAACCCAGGTCGTTGAAGTCAATCGATATCGAGACGATTTGTATATCCGTGAGACCGACCGACATCAACACTAGCCAAAACCATAACCCAATCGCCAGTCAGATTGGTTCTCACTCTTGACCTGAAGTGCTCTGCCCGTCCAATTATCAAGAAGAAGAGATTGCCTTCAACATCACAACTTCACGGTTTACAAGGCCTGTAATTTTAAGGCAGCAACAGCTTTTTTTATTTCCATTCGTCAAGTCATTACCTAAAGAGACAGTTTCCAACACACGTCTCACACTTTTGTGAAAGGAACAATCGTCATAAGGTCATCATCCTAATCCCCCATCTCTGACACGTTTCAGCGCCAGATGATCCTCCACTGTATTTGAAACCAAAGCAAAGGAAAAGATGTCGGTGATGTTGATGGTCCGTCCTCCGATGTGGTGTTCGCATGCCGCATTGCCCGAGTGTCATAACGGGCCAACAGGCCGTAGTTTCCAACCCCACCGTGCTCTTTCGTGTATGTTGTCCCGAAGATCCGGAAAAAAGGAGAATGGTCGAGTCTTTAGGATTACGTCCTCCTCCATGCAAGGCGTCATTCATCAGCATCTACAGCCGTGATGGGCATTTAAAAAACAGGGAATGAGAAGTCGTCAGCTCGTCAGCGTCGTCTCCAATGGGTTCTCGATGCCGAAAAGTCGTCTCGCGAATAAAAAGACAAATAAGAAAATTGGTGTGCAAAGAATGTCAAGAGGCCTCGCACTCGAGGCTTCAGGATCATAATCAGTTTATCATTATGCCTCAAACCAAATGTCGCCACAACGCCCACCAATGAAGTGACTGAGGTTCAGGGCTGATAGAGTATGGCCGGCCCACAAATGTCGCCGCCACTATCTTCCTTGCTGCTGTTGAGCCATAACGGGAGGAGCGCGAGCCATGGTGTCATACGTGGGAACAGCCGAGTTCATGAGCGTCTTTCTGCGCTTCATGTCCATGCTGCCACCGCTCAGCGGACGCTGCAGGTCGTCGTCATCATCACGACCACGCTTGATGCCACTCGAGGCACCGTTCATCTGTGAGGGGTACCCGTTGGGCATGGAGTTCATGTCGGACTGGGTCTGGTAAACATTGTTACCACCAGCAGCTGCAGAATTGCGGTCGGTGATTACATTAAAGAGGTTGCTTGAAGATTGCTGAGCGACACGCGGAGGCGTGCTGTAGCCGGCCTGCTGGGAGTAGTAGGGCTGAGGTGCAGTGGCGGTACGGGGAGTAGCACGGCCTGATGCAGGAGGGTGGTTGGGCGAACCCGTCATCTCAGGAGAGAGGTGTTGGTGTTCGGTGGCAAGGGATCCAACGGGAGGAGCCGAGTAGTTGTACGATCCGCGATTGGCATCGTAGGCGCCGCTGTCGTGGGTGTACTCGGCGTCGTGCTCGTGGTCTGCCTCTTCCTCGCCCGCAGGCTGAGGAGCATTGGAATCAGGATGCATGATGCCGTTTGAGGGCTTCTGATCCTGGGTGGCGCTCGCTGCAGCGGGCCGTGCTGACGGAGGACCCATATCGCTCTTAGCGTATGGGTCGTTCTGACCGTATACGGAGCGATCTTGCGAGCCCTGGCTGGTTTGGTAAGGGGACTGCTGAGAAGACTGGTTGTACATGGCCCTGGAGCTGTCGTATTGCTGTGTGCCGGTCTGATAGGGCTGCATGTTCTGAATGGTGGAGCCAGGCGGTGTGGAGGCAGGAGTTGCCGGCATGGAACGGGCATTGCTGAGGCCAGTGTCAATAGACATGGGGTTCTGGGGCTGCGCGTTGGTCATTCCTTGAGATTGAGCCCACTGGAATCCGTTGTCTGAGGCGCCCATGCTGCCACCCATTACGCTAGAAGCGCTAGTCGGAGGAGTAGGAAACGTGTGGGCGCGGTCAAGAGTGGGACGGCCCATGTTAGCATGGGACGGCAGTGGTTGCTGAGGTCCAGGCAGTCCCATAGAGTGATGATGGTGCTGTTGAATAGACGGCAGCCCAGGGGCGCCATTCTGAGGGGCACCGCGCATCTGGCTCTGTTCTGCCTTGCGGCGTTCAGCAGCAGCCATGACTTGGTTGGTGCGAGTCTGGTTCGTGGGGTGGTAGAGCAGAGCGCCAATGTTGTGGACGAAGAGGGGATAGAGCAGTTCGGTGATCTTCTCCTTGTTTGCAAAGTCCAAAGCTCTCTCAAAAGGGATCCTGTTATTTTTCCTCACGTTAGACCTAGCCCGGCCGGATTTGTCTTGGGGCACATGAAACTCACCAGACACCCTTAAGGTGCATAGGGCCAATCTTTACGACGTGTCTCACTTTCTCGCTCTTGAGAATTCCATCGCGGCGACCGCGGGTCATACCCGCGACGTTCAATAGCTTGGTGCCATTGATCATGTGATTATCTAGTGTGCATGTTAGCATGCTTCAGCGACCATTGGATATGCCAATCGAACTTACCCTCGCGACGCGCAACACAGATGCCTCGTGCCTCAACCTGGAAGCACAGGCTGCCTTCATCCTCCCACAAAGTGGCCGTGACTCTGGGTTTCATACCGGGAGGGGCGACTTGGCCAGTGGTGTCGAAACCCTGGAAACCTCCAGGGTTGACACCTGGGAGAGGCAGCACGTTCTGTCCACCCATTCCGTTGTTCACGGGAGCGCTTTGAGGCGAAGTCAAGCCATTGGCATAACCGTACGGCTGGCCGTATTGAGTCTGCTGCTGATATTGAGGCAGATGGCTTGGCTGTAACGGCGGTGGCTGGGAGTGGTAAGACATTGCGCCGGACGTCACGGTCTGGGGCGGTGGCGCTTGACCGGCAGAAATATGTTGCTGATAGTACATGTCTGCTGCAGGTTGATTCATGGCGGGGTAATGCTCGTAACCACCAATTGGCTGACCGGAAGATCCAGGGATCGCCGCGTTGATGGGCAGAGTGGGAGAAGGTGTCTTGGGTCCGTGGGAGGATGCGGCCGACGTGAAGGACGACTGCGAGCCTGCGTGAGAGCTTGAAGCGGAGCCGATTGAGCTGACCCGGGGTGACGAGGTACCCGATGAGTACGCCTGATGCAGGTTGGGCAATGGAAGAGACGGCACTCTCTCGCTGTTCATGTACGACGGCCTCTGAGCCGGGTGAGCGTTGTAATACGACACGTCGGTCGGTCCCCGGGTTTGCACTGAAGAAATCGACGGTAAATCCAGTTTCACGGTTGTTGCCCCGAAGGTTCTACCACCAAACACCAGAGATCAGTAAAGTCCGGGTTCGCCTAGCGAGCCTCGAAACTACGACAGCAGCAGGATGTCAGACGTGCGGAAAGAGAAAGCAATTCTCTTTCGAGGAGTCTTGTCGTGGTGCCGGACTAGATATCCGAAGAAGCTTGGAGCAAGGGCAATTGGAAGCAGCGGATGTGGCTCGGCGGCGCAAAGACTGCAGTTGCTTCCAGCGGTGACGGTGCTACAAAGTATGGACGGAATAATCCGTACAACACAATGGTTCTTTTGAAAAAAAGAAACAGATCAGGACGGTCGTGGTCGTCGTAAGCAGTCGTTAAAAATCAGGAGATTCTATCTTCGTAGCATCTGAGGTTTGATGGAGATGGCGGAGGCGGCGATTTGGTAGCTGCGGTGTCTTGTCGAATTGGCGGTCGTAAGCCTTAGGTTGCAGGCTAACTGATGGAGAAGACGTTTGTCGAGGTGGCAGAAGAGGAGACTTGGGGTGAGTCTCTCGAAATTGCAATGCGGGTTGCACGAATGGAGCCGAGGACGGTGACGATGCGAAGCGAGGGAATGCCCTTTTTCTTCTGAAATCGGGGCTGAGTAACAAGCGGTGGAGGGCCGTTTGTTTGGAGGTCTCTATTCAGGCAGGTACCAGACACAGCACACAAACACTCGAGGAGAGCAGGTGAATCGTCTTGGTCTTCCTTGATATTTGCTTCTCTTTTTTTTTTCTTCGTCGAGCTCGCCCAACTCTTCTAATGCAGGTACATTAGCTACGAGTTTGGCGTATATAGGAATGGGGGCGGGTGTGCAGTAGGAGGTGCAGCAGAGGAATGAGAAGGGTAGTTGGAGGTTAGGCGGGTTGAGGTGAGGTGAGGAGGTGGAAGAAGAGGGTAGAAGAGGCAGTGGAAGTGTAGAAGAAGTTCTGACTTACCGTCCTCGCCTCTTTGGCTATCCTGAGTGGAATATTGGAGGTGGTTGGTGGAGTCGTGAGAGGTAGAAAGAAAAGAAAGAAGACGGGCGTGGGAAGGTTTTGTTTTTGGTGGTGAGAAAAGAAGAGGAGGCAGGTCGAAGTCCATCCATCCACAATCCACACCACACACGCCCTCTGGCCCATGTCCACGCCCACCCCGGCCGGCGCAAGTGCAAGGTGCAGGTGCGGGTTGAGGATTGAGGGTTGAGGGTAAAGGTACCTTACTGGGGTACTGCGGTATCCGCACTTTGGTCGATGCTGGTGTGGTACGGCGGTAGCGGTACGGACATGGCAGAGCTCAAGAGCATGGGGCAGGGTCCATGGGGCACCGAGAGGTCGAAGCAGAGCGAGCGCAGACTCCAGGACCCAGAGACTCAGAGCGAGAGGTGCAGAGAGGCGGAGAGGCAGAAGGACCAGGTACTGTTAGGCGATATTTCGCAGGTAGGTACTGTGTGTCTACTAGAAGAGCGGTAGGGTTCTCTCTGTCTCTGTCTCTCTCTCTCTCTCTCTCGCGCTCTCTTTTGCCCGCTCGCTTGCTTTCTTTGGCCCATTTGTCTATCTGTCTGTCTACTGTGAACTGTCTGGCCCGTACTCCGTACCATACTTGCGTACGGAGCCAGGTAGCGCGACGCTGTGCTGGGAGGGCAAGTATAGCGGCGAGGACTGAGGTATCTCACGGGCAAAAGATACGGACTCTGGTAGCGGCGTTCGACAAGGTAGGTGGGCTTGGGTTGAGAAAATGGCACAGGCCAAGGGCCTGCCCCCCCCCCTCCCCGGAGGAGCTCAGAGACTGGTGGGTTTGGCCGTTCAGTGCTGCTGCTAAGTGGACAGTCCGGCCGACCGGGGGTCGCAGATGAGGGGGTCTTTGGGGGAGGGTGAAGGACGAGCAAGCTGGAGGGCGAGGATAAGGCCGAAAGTACCGTGGTACGGAGACCGGGGGGTCTCTACCAAGTGGGATGGATGGGGGGGGAAGGGATTGAATGGGATGCTAGATGGGAGGAGAAGAGGAGAAGGAGGGGAGGAGGATGAAGAGCGGAGAAGGGGGGTGAGGTGGGGGGTGCGAGAAGGAAGAGAAGAAAAAAAACCGAGTTAGAGCGACGACTGGCGGAAAAGATACGTATCCAGCTTTTTTCTTCCCACCCGGTAAGGTAAAGTATCGGCGGACAGATGAGCGAAAGTTGAGGTGCGCAAAGTATCCCGGTACTTCGGTCGTCGACGACGAAGCCACACACACACACACACACACTCTGGACACTGACACACACGCATCCGCGGCACACATGGAGGCACATACAGCCAACAGCCAACGCACACGCGCTCCAAAGTCCAGAGGAGCGAGCAGACAGCAGAATCATGGACCCTACTACCCAAGGAGCCTTCTTCCCTTGCCTACCTTGAGTGTACCGGTATTCGCATTCAATTTCATGGAGCTGGGAGCTTAACCTCGATCCGTCTCTGGAACCAAGGTAAGGTACGGACGTACTGCGCTGTCCATGTTCCTTGTCTCGGTACCCAACCATCGTCAGCTCCTTCAACTGCTTTCTCCCTTTACGTTTATTTTTCTTTTGCCTCAATGTCTATTTCGCAACGCCTGTCTACGAAGTACTGTTAATGGCATGGGACGTGCACTTCAGGATGCAATGTAGTCGGTACCTACGACTCCTTCGGGGTCTCGTGTACGCAGCATGGTCCTGGTCCTTCCTCTGGTCGCTCATACGGCCTGTCATTGGTACCGTATCTTTCTTGCTGTTTATCTTTTCTTTTTCCCGACTCCAAGTCCCAGGTGTGGGCTCTGTTTCTCGTATGTGGACGGGACGGAACTGACAATGTTCCCCCAGTCTGTCGACTTATCCTCAGCTTCTGGATGGAGCGAACGAGAAGAAGCCTTAGGGAAAAGTGGGGATATTGACTCGTACGGAGTACCTTGTGTTCACAAGTGCCTAAAGACTCCGCTCAGTCTCTCTCTCTCTCTTTCTCTGCCAACAAGCCGTACGGGGTACGGATACAGCGTGCGGTGCCGGTACGCTTACTGCGTTTTGCCCTGTCTTGCCTTCCTCTCTATCCATGTGGGAATGCGAACCTCAACAGCACATCCATCACCTCACCTCACATTGCCTTTCCGTACCTTGCCTTAGCTGGCAGCGGGCCTTTTTACTCTGCTTCTGCGTCCGCACCTCGAAACCTGTTCCTCCCTCCAAGTACCGGCTCCAAGCCCCAAGCTCCATCTCTCTCTCACTCTGACTCGCTCTGTCAGGTTGATCCGTGGCCGCGTCGGTAAGCGACTCTACCGCCGGCACTCACCTCTCTTTTTCGTCTCTTCTTCGGCCTTGACCATTGGGTCGGGCTGGGGCGCAGAGAGTAGGTATTCTCAGCCAGCTACCCGAGCCCTGGAAGGGTGGTACGGCCAGGCTAAGCTAACCGTCGCCGTTCGGTGGGTGTAGGGAAGGACAGCGACAAGAATCGGGAAGGGGGGGCGTGCCACGGGAGTAATGGCGTCGAGGGCCTCGTTGAACGTGGGCTTCGTTGTCGTTTCCCGGGGCCTAGTGTCGTCGCTCGAGGGGCGTGGTCAGAGTAGGGTGACACCAGGAAGAGAGGGGTCTGTTGTCCTTGACCAGGGTGGCCCATGGCCTGAGTTCAAGCCCCAGTCTGTCGCGGTCGGTCTGTCGGCCTTTCAGAAGGAATACTCAACACACCGGGCCTAGACACTCTGAGGCGGACGGACAACGTGGAGGAGCAGGCGTACGGGCAATGATGGATTCCCATCTAGACAATGTCCAGACTACGCAGGTAAACGCAGTTCAACGCAATCAAGCAGGCCACTGTAGATAATGCCAGGGCTTTGCATTGGCAGGGAAGCCCGCCAGGCCTAGGGCCTATTCCAAGCCCAAGGACTCTCACGAGACGAGGTACCAATACCTGTGCGAACATCGTACCTCACCCGACCGCAACTGCGACCGAGCAGAATGTGGGCGTCGACGTTGGCTGCTCTGTGCCAAACGACCTCGACCGACCCTACTGTTCCCACGCTACGGATCCATGAGACCAGAGCAACTTATCCCCCGGCGAACTGAGAGCAAGCAGCACTGGAAGAACGGTGTGTAACTTGCACAAGCATCGAAACGAAACCAGACACAATCTGTATCTCGCTTGAATCCAGTATCACTATCCCGACGGGACGTCGACTGAGCCTGCCCTTGTGCGGGGACTTGGGAGATGAGAGACGAGCCTCGACAGAGATGGGAAGAAGTGGAGTGGGCCCGATCTGGAGCCCGTGAATCTATGTGCCATAGTCCAAAGAGTGCATATCAAATGCTCTTTCCAAGTCCAAGTGACGTCGGCCAGAGACGAATGGCGATTCTCATGTCTCTGGGCCGTCGCCATTGCGCCGATACTCGTGTTGTTTCGTCTTTTCTTTCTCGTCCTTTTGTGATTTGAAGAGTGGCGTCTCGAGTTTCTCTCTCTGCACAAACACACAGAGCATGGCAAATCAAGAAACTGTCAGCTTTTGGTTGGAAACCCAAGTTCAAGGTCTTTTCAGTTTCCAGGGGACCGATCTGAAGATCCAAAAGCACTGATCGCTTCTGCCCGCTGGTCAACTTGTCTCATTGATGCGTATCCTGTACTCCGTAGTTAATTTCTCTCCGTGGCAATGCTGGCTGTTTTCGAATCGTTCTTCAACCCCGACACAGCCCCGGGCATGTGGACGGAGGTCGTCGGTTCCAAGTCTCCAGCGACGCTGTGACCAATGTCCATTGCCAGTCACTCAGCGCACCGCCGCTAGAGCCCCGCAACTCGTCAGTGTCGTCTTGTTCGAGACATAGAGAGTAGAGTGTGCTAGACTTCAAGCCCAGACCTAGGCTTTGGTGTCATCCATTTCCTCAACAACGAACAAGACCGGGTATAACTCACATCACTCGGACCAGACGGTCAAACCAAGATGATAGAGGCTGCAGTAAAGTCCGGCAAATTAGTAAGGCGACCCGAGCGGTTCAGCAGATGGAGATGGTGGCCGCAGCGGCAACCGCGGTTGACAACATTGTAATAAGGCGGGCTTAACGCTGGTTGGCACAGTGTCCCGGCCGTGCTCCTCGATCCATCCATTCTATCTGCCTACCCTTGGGCCTCGGACTTGGCGTTGCCTCTTGTGCTCTCCTTGACCCATTGGCCGTGTCATTGTTGTGACCTTTGTTGTTCGACCGAACCTCGAAGGCCGTCGGGCAGACAGTGGACTGTGCGTTTGGATGTTGGATGTTTCCGCCGCAGCTGCCAATGAAGCACGGCATCTCCAGGGCCTGTTTTGTCCCGGACTTGAGTTCCGTCGCAAGGTACTGCCGTTCCAACAAAAGTGTCATGTCATCCGGTCGGCGCATGTAGGGTTCGGGTGTCCATTGCTTCGAAGGAAAAGTTAATCGTACCCGACACCAAGGTACGGTCCATGTGCCATTGGCGGCGGCCAAGGCCATCATCTCAGAGCGGCGCAGTTTCTTCATGGTTAGGTGAGGTTAGGTGAGGCAGTGTAGCAAGCGGCTATTGGTCAAAGTCCCGGTATCAAAGGTCAACAAGACAAGAGCCTCAATAGCAAATGGTTGACAACAATGGCCTCACTACCGGTAGAAGCACCGTTGCAAGTCTAGGACCCGAGGCAAGGGATAAAAAAAGACGAGAGCGAGCGGCGAAGGAAGAACAAGAAGAAGCAAGCCAATAGCGCATCGTCGTCTTCTCGACGCTTCTGATGGACTCCAAGCACAACGCCGTCGGTTTAGCGCAGCGCGCAGCGAACCAGGAGACATAGAAGGGGGGCGTTCGCTGTCGATTGCCGAGCCTACACTACTAGCACTCGGTAAGAGGATATAAAAACGACACTGGGCCGATTTGGGGGTATCTGACCATACCGCAGTTGGTCCTCCCGTGCTCCCTCGTCTGTTTAGACCAAGGGTTAAGGATTGGCTTGCCGCTTGATGCATCTCTGATCTTAGTGCGCTGGGCTGGCTGGGGGGTTCCCGACAATGGTGCTCGAAAGCACAGACGTTGCTGCACTGTGCGGCAGAGGGCCATGCGCATGTCAAAAGGCAGATCTTGTAACGCTATCTTGGCTGACCTTGCTGTTGTCGTCTCTCTCCATGTACGTATTCATACGGAGTATCCGTAGGGATGCTGATGCTGACTCTCCACAGGTCTGTCATCGTTGTCGCCGGCCTGCTGACTGGGGAGAGAATCAGGCTGGCTGGCTGGTTGGTCTGATCAGGTCTGGGTCAGCGGATTCTGTCGCGTCTTGTCTTGTCTTGCCTTGCCTTGCTTTGCTTTGCTTTGCTTTGCCTTGCCTTGCGTTTCCACATCTCGCAGGAAACCCGCTTTGCTCATCTGTCCCTCGTGTGCGGCGTGCGGCGTGCGACGTGCGTGCTGCTTGCTCAATTGCTTGCTTGCTTGCTTGTTTTCCGCCCTCCCATGCCTGCCCTGCCGATTTGACTTGGTGAACCTGTCCAGTGCCTTCTCCGCGCCGGCCCCGCTGCGAACCCTATGTGCCTTGCCCTGCTTTCCCTTTGCGGAGCAAGAGTGGATGATGACTAGGGTATAGAAAATCAACATGGGCAGAAGTCCCCGTCACAATCGCGGCAAGGTGGTGGCTGGTAGGTGGGCGCTGCAACTTCCAAATTGGTCCTTTGGAGCAACAAGTGGTGGACACCACGGCAGGAAGAACCATGAACGGTTTGTGGGAAAGAAAGCCGACTTCACGGATATAATGTCCGTACCTCACCTTCCCTTCCAACACCTTATCTAGGAAGGCAGTTGCGGGCCGAATCTCTTTCGCTGATAGACGACTATCATCATTCATAACCTTCCAATTTGCTCAGTTCCATGCGTAACATGCGTCGGCGGCCATTTCCTGTTA